TGAAACTCAGTCTGCAGTGTCACCGGGGTCTTTGTTCTCGCGTCCTGGCCTCCGGGATTGGGTGCGGCCTACCTGGCTCTTTGGGCGCTTTTCAGCTGGGAATCGCGGTGGTATGAGTCCGGCCCACACTCGGACCCAGGAGCGCTGCCTCTATGCTATTTTTTTAGGCATTTGTTTTTGCTATTTTGAGTTTTTTTAATGAAAAACAAAATTTTTATATATATAGCTATCCATATATATATATGGATAGCTGTACTAGGTGTATTGCTGGTATCTGTGGTTTATTGAAAGGAACAGTCAGTGCTTACAATTTTCTTTTTTGTTGAGCAGTTTTGCACACCTGAATCTGATAATCAGAATGATCTGATAACAGCAATTTTCAGTATAATAACCATTGCTGAACTCCTACCATCTTGTATGGTGAAGCTGTGCATCATTTCCGATTTTTGTATCATTGCAGTCTTTGATGTTTGGTCAGTCTTACATTCTTATGTCTGGTGGACTGAACAACTTTGTAGCAGCCATTGGTACTTCCTATCATTTTGTTTTGAAGTCATGTATTGTTTTCATTGTTTCCTCAGTGTACTGATGTACATTCGTATACATTTATATGCATATATAGACACTATAAGTCCTTTAAACTGTAGTATTTTCCCCTTGATTGTTCTTTCCTTGTTGGAAGAATCCATGATTAACTGAGTTTTACTGCTTTTGCTTTACAGAATCTGTCTGTCCAACACGAATTCCTGTGGCGGCTCGTGATGAGAAAGGATTTGATATACTACTAGGTTTAGGTGTAAAGAAAAAAGTTAAGAAAAGAATCCAACTTTCACCAACAAAGATAAAAGGATATGAAATAACATCAAAAGCTGATTTGTCAGAAGTAACAAGGTATACATTTATGTGAATCCAACATTATGTATGTATGTAATGTTTGCAGTGTTGTTGACAATTTGTTGGGCTCACCATCTTATTCTGTTTCTAGCAATGTGTTCCCAGAAGGTCTTCCTCCATCGTATGTATTTGTTTCCACCCAGAGATTTAAGGTCAAGAAAGTGTGGGATTTATGGAGAATATTAACCATCCATGGGAAGCCACAAATAGCAGTTACCTTAAATGGTGTGGACCAAACCTTATCATTTACAACAACTAGCATAATTAATGGCTCACAAGTGGCCATATTTGCTGGCCCTCAAGTTAAGGTAAAGATGTTTGAGCATGATAATGTTATTTATAAACATGGGAAAACACCATTTTTTTTGTATCTGTTGGGCAAGAAAATTATAATTTTAACATGACTTCATATTTTAATGATGCTGACTTCATATTTTAATATTGCCTTTGAAGAAAAGCAGCAGAGGAAGGTAAATTTTTTTCTTAGTGTTAGGAGAAAGGGCAAGGAAAATTAACATATTTTGAATGCTTACTACTAGGTTCTAGGCACATTTAATGATAATAACCATCTAACAAAGAAGTTATTGCTCTCACTTTGTGAACAAAGAAACCAAAGTTAAGTAACGTAGCTCAAAGTAAAATAGATAATAATTTTTTTGGTACCAGGAATCGAACTCTGGACCTTGTGCTTGCCAGGCAGGTGCTTGTGCCACTGGGCTATATTCCCGGCCCTATAGCTTATAAATGTTGACTTCAGGATTTGAATATAATTTTGATTGATTTCAAAGTCCATGTTGGCCTGCTTTCTACCTCCATGTGTATAAAGACATATTTGCTAAAATGTTAAATACCAGGTAGATGATAGATACAGAATTTACCTTGATTATATTTTATTTTCAGAAAAGGAATATATATATATATATTTAATGAAATACATTTTTAAAAGTTTATTTTCTCAGTCATGTGTCTATATATGATTCCAATGATGCTAACAGTTAAGTTTTGCTCATTATTATTATACCCTAGATGTCTATTAATATGATTTAGGGAATGTTCATAGTTATGTATGAAAATTAAGTGTTTATTCAGTTTTGTCACTCAAAAGCATTAAATTAAATTTGTGGACTGCAATTTTCATTGGGTACTGGGTTCTTTAAGAAAAAACAGTCAGGAGATTATAGTGTATATGCAAATTACTGGCATAAAAAATACAAAATGTCGTAGAGTATGGATGGGAACATGTGTTCTGACACAAAAGGTAGGAAAATCTTTTTAAATTAGGTGACTTTTGTACTGGACCTTGAAGGACAGGGAGAGCTTTGATGGGGAAAGTTGTAAGAGCACATTAAGTCGATGAGTCAGTGTTGAGTAGCAGCAAAGTGGAAGATTTTTGTTTAGAGGATATGTGTGGAGTGTACCATGCTTCATTCGAAAGGCTGACAAGGTGTGAGCCCAGTGTATGAGGAGCCTGGAAGGCCATGCAGACTGGCTTGGACTGTGCTCCATGGATGACAGGGTTCCATCAGAACTCTTGATCATGGGTACATCACGGTCAAGCAGTCTTCCCACTCTCTTCTCCTGCTCCTCGTGTAAACTGTACTTTCAGCCTTATCCAGCAATTATGTCAGGTTCTGGAGGTACAGAAATAAAATGGAGCATCTTCTCTAATGGAACTCTAGTGGAGCTATGAAGGATGGCAAGTGGGAAGCTCAGAGATAGAAATATACCTGAAAGTAAAGCAAAAGACCCACAAACCCAAATTATGACAGTAAGTGGAAGTGGAGAAGGGAGTTAGACTCATGTTTAAGGACATATTTGATTGGATTTTGCTCCTGGTTAGTTATTACCACTCAGAGAAAGAAATGTGTGCTTTAGAAAAAGAAGGTACTACTATCCAAGGGAAATAATGAGCTGAAGAAAGTTAAAAGGATACTCAAGTTCATTTTGTTACATACCATATTAAGCTGACTGTGAGACATCCTTGCAAACTTATTCTGGCCAGTATTAGAATTACAAGGCTCATACGCAAGAGAGAGGTCCAGGCAGTTGATGTAGATATGGGAGTTACCGTAGGGAAGTAAGGATTGGTCTGTAACAATGGATGAGCTTGTCAAAGGGCAGAATGATAATGTTAAGGTCAGACCTGTGAGGGATGCCCTCATGTAGAGCAGGCAGGTTGAGGGAGGGGAGCCCTCAAAGAGATAAAGAACGAGCAGTTGGAGAGGATGATATGAAGGTGATCAAGATGGTTTGAAATGTGGAAGTTGAGTGAAAATACCAAGAAAGATAGACTACAGTAGTCACTGGGTCCAGAGTTACAGTCAATTCATGGGATGTGGAACAAGAGAAGCAGTTTAGATTCAGAGATGTGGATTTCATTTGTGATTTTGGGGAAGTTGCTCCAGTAAATTGTTTGACACATTGACTTTGGGATATACAGTAGGAATTGAGATAGGGATTAATAAAAGAGTTGGAGGGTAGCATATGAAGGCCAGCTTGGACCAGATAAATTAGTATGTATTATAGGAAATATGTGGTCCAAATTTTTCTTAACAATGTTAGGAGCAAGGGAGTAGAAAGAAAGAAAAGATTGTAACAGATTTTACTTATGAATCATTTATGCTTTCTTCCTGTAGACACTGTTTGATGAAGAATGGCATCAAATTCGTCTCTTAGTAACAGAGCAAGATGTAACCCTATTTATTGATGATCAAGAAATTGACAACAAACCCTTACATCTAACGTTAGGGATCTTCATCAGTGGGCAAACACAAATTGGAAAATATTCTGGGAAAGAAGAAACTGTTCAGGTGGATAAATAGTGATTTATTTTTTGCTTTGTATAGAATGAAACTTTGGCTGTCCTTTGTAATAGTATTGGCTACACTGAGTGTGTTTAACGTGACTATGAATTCTCTAAGACATTTAATCAAAATGTAATCAGTTCATGGTTGAAATTGTGTGTTATAAAAATGCAAAATAGCAGTGTAACCCATTTTCTAAGAATACTTAGAAAAATGTAGGGTAGAATTCTAGGAAATATTAATTTTATATTTCCTAGGAGAAACATAAGTTTAAACAATGAATTTGGAAAAGGAAATATGGCTAGAAGTGAAAATAATAAGAATTTATTTGCAGCTGTGGGTATAAAATTAGATAAATGCATACCAGGGTTCTTCACAAACAAAACTGTTACTTAAAAACAAAGCAATTGTGGTCTCTTCAACTCATACTTTAAAAGGTTTTGTTTTGACTTTTTATTTTTTTGTTTTTTTTGTATTTCTTCCGGTGCCAGGAATCGAACTCACGACCTTGCGCTTGCCAGGCAGGTGCTTTGCCGCTGAGCTAAATCCCCAGCCCCTGTTTTGACTTTTTAAACATCTTTGTTAGAGTATATTTGTGTTTATGTTGAGCAGTGTGTATATAAAACCCATTTCTAGAAAAATCCTTTATTGAAAAAAGTATGTCCTCCTGTACTTTTTCTTTTAAGAGAAGACTTGTCACATTTAAATTTGTAATTAGACATGTGGTCAGATGCATATAGACGCTGTATGTCAAATGGTGGTAAACATTTAAATGATATCAGGTGCTGACCCTCTCATCACACACCTTTTTTTCCCAGTAACGAAATCTCTAAAGCCAAAGATGCTTCCTGAGCCCACCACATGTGATCAGGACCATTGCAGAGACTTAGGATAAACACAGGGAGAACTTTAAAGTGTCCCGGGGGATGGTCTCTAGACTAGCTCTTAATGTAGGGATACTGAGAAACATACTTCACTGGATTCTTGAAGGAAATCAGAGATTTGTTCTTGGCACAAGGAACTTTTTCCTTAGGGGTTATGTTGTGCCTCATATTTACAGAACATATTAGATACTCAAATTTTGTGTTTTCATTGTGTTACCTAAATGCTGCCATCTAAACCTTACACCATTACTAGCTGTGGTGGCTGTTTCTACATGTCTGATCTGCTATTTCAAAACAGTTAGCTTGGGCCTCAGTTTTAACTCTATCTATTCCTAGTTCGATGTCCAAAAGTTGCGAATCTACTGTGATCCAGAGCAGAACAACCGGGAGACAGCGTGTGAGATCCCCGGATTCGTAAGTGGAATGGATTGCTTCCTTTCAGGTGTTGCTTTTGTCCTTCCAAACCACTAAAGAGCAAATATCCCTGTCTTATTTAATGTATAGAGTTAATTTTGGTTTTTATTGTCAAAGGGTATAAAATTACACCAAGAAATGTATTTTGCGGTGCAAACTGGAAGAAAATGAGAGGGCATCATTGTGCAAGTGAGAAGGGAAAGGAAGGGAAGTAGGAGAAGCCAGGCTGGACCTGTCCAGAAGGACCCTGGGCTTTGTCTGAATACCTCAGGGTGTGAAATACATTTCCACACTTACTTAAATGTAGGACAGAGTATCCCAACGCGTGTAGTTCTAAAGAGTAGAAAGTAGTTTGCCTGTTTACCAGCACTGTTCTTAAACTATGAGTATTCTTCTTTTTGTTCTTGTTACGTAAGTAAGGTAACTTACTCCTGTTTCCATCAAAGTGAATAACTTATGAAGCCTTGTGTTAGAAAACTTGAGGACATAGAACAGCACATAATAAAATTAAATTGAACATGCAACCTTCTAGAAATTATTCACTTTGAGTTTTCTAGATAGGCAATTGTTTAACCATTATATATTTTTAAAAAATTGCTTACAACTTGGAAAATAAATCTCTCCTAAAAGTACTAAACAGCATTGTGTTTGAGAGTCAGTTGTATATATTTTGTTGATGTCTCTGCACTGACACATTACTATTACCCTCCCACAGCTTTATCCTGCAGATTTTGGATTCTTAATCCACTCTGAAATGTCTTCCTGCCTTCTTCCTTATTCTGCAGTGTGAATTCAGGTGGCTGGTTGGGCTTTTGCTCTCTCAATCCAACCTCCGCATTTTCTGATCTTGCTTGTTGCTCTTTGGAACGATTATAAATATCTACCAGAAATTGTGCGTTATTCAGTAAGAAACTGAGAAATTCTTCCAAAGTAAAATGACCAAAATTTTAATACATACAAGTTGTGACTTTTTCAGATGAGTTTTGGCTCTTTTGGTGTTCATGCTTCTGAAATAATTTCTATATATTTCAACAAAGCATATAAATCTCACTTTGAGGTCTTTTTTTTTTTTACATGACTATTAATATCAAGCAGCTTTGGTGTTTTAATTTTGCTTTTTGTGCTTTACCTTTATTAGTTTCCTTCCTTTATCCTTTATAAATGTAGTAGTAATGGGGATAGATATACACTTTCTAGAGATAGTTACACACAAATATTTTAGCTCTTGGTTGATTTGACGCTTCATGTATCTCTTGTCTGGATAATTAATTGTCTATAAGTCAGGAAGATAATCTAGAAATTAATTAAAACACATTTTAAAACATGTATGTTGTTTTTCTTTCAGAATGGAGAGGTAGGCTTGGATACTATTAGTCTTCATAAGGTAATATTTGCACTGTGGGACCATTTGACTTCTTGTCATCAGCTGTAAGTACATTAGACACATAGAACTAATGTTTTTATATAGTTTGAAGTATGTACTGCTCATTGAATTTTTGTGATTTAGAATTTATCAGATTGGACTAAATAACATTAGAAATTGACTGTAAGCTATCTTTGCCATTTTAAACATAGAGACATACATACATATGTGTGTATGTGGATATATATGTGTCTCCATGTTTGTTGCTTTTCCCATTGTTGTCTTTGTAGTGCCTCAATGGTCCCAGTGATGTAGGTTCAACTCCAAGTCCCTGCATCTGCCCTGCAGGGAAACCAGGACTGCAAGGCCCGAAGGTGAGTGGTACTTCATGTACCGTGTTTGTAAGACACACAAAAAAGTGCTACTCAGAACACGAAGTTCATAATCACTGTTGACTCTGTTATGAATCATCCTCTGGCACCTTATAAAAGTTAGCAACCTGAGTTTTAGTGATTTTTAAAAGAAGGTGTATTCTATCTAGAACTGCCATTTCAATCTACAACTGATAACATGAAGTCACATTGAAGTGATGCACTATTTATTTTTTTCCCACAAACATTGCTGTTAGATCCCAAGAATATTTCCTTGAAACCAGGTTAAAAAATGAAGCATCATATGTTGATATATGTTCTTTTTTAAATTCAAATTTAAATTTTATTAGTGCATGTTTGCATATGTGCAGTTTACGTTCAGTTTGGGGGTTAGATACGTTCACACAATGCATCTTGTTTCTTTTATTAATTCCCTCCCGCTTCCCACCCACTTCCCTCCCTCCATTTCTAACTTCCCTTTCCCTGTTGGCATTTTGTTGTAATTGTTATTCTTAGTTCATATTTGTGACACAGAATGTTTGCATTCAATGTAGATATTTCTTACCTATAATGTCATATTTAAATCTCACTAAATTCTTAAATGCCTAATGTGTCAAAATATTTTTCGTATAAAAATAACTTATTTTTATTATTGTGAGTTTAATATCCAATGTTAAATAGAGGCATATAAATTTATTTCACTTAATTATGTAATTACTTTTGGAGACTATATGCATGTATTCCTGCTGTATTTATGTATTTATTTATATACTAATGCATATTATTGCTATACTATTATATACCAATATGGTATATAATATGGTATACTATATAATATGATATACTGTTTATATACCAATGCATATTATTGGTATACTATTGTACTTTATGAATATTATTAAGTATATTATTAAACTTAATGCGTATTATGCATTTTTGTTGTTGAAACCATCCTGTGTGTGCCTGTGGCTACTTTTAAAACCACACATGTCCTGAAGCTGCTCCCATGCTGTTAAGTGTGAGTGACTGAACCACGGGAGTTGAGGTATTTAGGGTTGCATCCCTCAGTGCCAGCAGTCTCTGATGTTTTCCCACTCTTCATTCTGACCCATAGGTGTCCTGTAGTGTCACCATGTTTCCATTCACAGATACATATTTCTAAGCAGAATTTTAGCACAACCATTCTCTTATCTGTCAAAGACTCTCATTTTCAATTTTTCCAAGTTTCATATGCTTTTAATTTAATCCTCTTTCTTAGTCATGGTCCAGCCCCGTTGCCACCACCTACTACTTTAAGTGAAATTGCAGTTTTCCACTAATCTTCCAGTTGGCGTGCCTTCTTGCTCTGCTTTCCATTTTCCTCAGAAAATCTGGCAGGAAGATAGGAACACACACAGTCTCCCCACCCCCATCGTTTAAGGGCTCCTTTGCCTGGACATGGTTCCTTACCCAGGTCAGGACCTCTATATGAAAAACAGAATCCCTAGCAATATTGTGGAGAGTATTTCTTTTGGAAAACGCTGGCTCTTACCATTGATAGGGGTTTATGAATTAAACAGAACCTAAACTAAACAGCTGAGATGTTTTTATATTAGGTGGCACTGAGAATTTTGGGGCATTCTTGTTAGATGCTTTGAAAAGAGTTTGTCAGTGGTTGGCTAAACAGGGTCATTTGTGAAAAGCAGATCTAGTCATTCTAATAGCTAGAAATAGTGTTTGGAGCCTAGTGTTGTGCCATAAGACTGAAACAGAGGAGAGATTCTTGGGTGGATATCTAGAGAAGTGCTTACTCATGATAAAAAATGTCATCTGTTTAATGCTACCCAAGTTTCTGAATCATACGACAAGCTTATCGATAATCCAAATTGAAGGGACTGTGGGACTCCACACCTTCACCAAGCATCCAAAAATAGATCTGTCAATGCACTGTAGTCTATTGAAGAATAAGCTTATTCATTTTTAAAGACCTAGTTGCAAACATAGGGGGTGATTAGATTAATGGCATGATTAATTTAATATTGGGCCTATTCTACCAAATGCAAGCATTTCTTTTGTTCACAATGAAGGGCAGTAAAAAAAAAAAGTCTCCTTAGATTTCTTGGCATAGTACTTAATAGTATTAATTGTCCATTGAATGAACTAGAACCTCATTGAAAAATAAGTTTCACCCCTTTCTTCCATTTAAAGAATATGGAATATCTCATGAATGAAAGACAAGGTAGTCTCCAATTTAGAAGCAATTCCCTTTTAAATGATTGCTGCATACAAATGAGATCTTCTTTCCCTACTTCTGTAGCTATAGACTTATTTGTGGGGATGACCTTTCCACATCTGATTTAACCTTAAATGATAGATCTATTAATTTAGAAGTAGAGAGAAAGCACTTTTCTTTCTTTTGCAGTTCAGCACAATTTCTTAACAACCTCTTCGATTTGGAATACCGTAACCTTTTACACCCAAGTCCCTGTTGTCCTTTGCCTCATGCTGATAATTCTGTCAGTGATTTATTTGAACTATCCTCTGTCTAAAATACAGAATTTTTTGGAAAATGTCGAGTCAATAGACACCAACTTTTTGTGGTAATTTTTACAGAGTGGGGGTCCTGAGGGGGGTGGAGTTTGGTTTTGGAGAAGGGTCAAAAATAGTCTAAGGTGAGATGTTTCTCATTAAGGTGGAAGGAGAAAATAAAGGGAAGAAGGAAGCATATTGAATTTTGAGAAGAAGCCTTGGAAACATGGTGTTTGGGCTTAGGTGAATTGTTACATTTATTTTGGATGCAAAACCTAAAATATAGCTTGCGTTTGCAAACACAACTATTTCTTACTTTAATTACTCATGTTTATAGTATGCAAGAGACCATATTCAGAGATGTTTTAACTTAGTCCATGACAGTTCCACTCCTGTCAACAACTTAAAAATCCAGTGGCACAAGTTCAATTCAACATAAATAAGTATTCCTTTTCAGCTCTATACATATTTTTTTTTAAAATTCAAAATGGGCTTTTTCAACTAAATTAGAATTAAATGGATTAGGAATTTCATTACAGTTATATAATGGTAAGTCATACATCCAATTTGGTGTATTCAGGACTTCTTTTTGTTAGTTTTTGAGAGTCCCTAAGTTGGTTCTGATAAGCATATGCACTTCAATATAGACAGGGATAGTGGTGTTTAGGGTCATGGACTCTGGGACTGACCTGGCTGGATTTGAATTTCATCTCCATCACTGCTGTGTGACCTTGGGCATGTTACCTAACTTCCCTGGGCCTTAGTTTTCCTTTATAGAAGATAGGAATAATCAAACTACTTTCTTCAGAGCATTACTATGAAGATTATGTACTTTATATATGTAAATCTTTAAAGCTGTGCTTAATATGTAATAAATAATAAAGGTTCAATGTTAGCTTTAGTACTAATAAAATAAAATTTTTATTCTAATTGGTCTTACCAGCTAGTTAAAAGAGTTTGAGTGTTACTTTATTCTTCTAATTATATGGGAACAACCCAAACCTGTGTGACTTTTTGTAAATAATTCATCAAGGACAATAGTGAAAATAACCTATAAAATCTACTGATAATAGTAGAACCTAAAAAAGACATTATTTCCCCCTGCAGTTGTTGACATGTGTTATGGTTTTTATAAATTCACATCATATTTTCCTTATGGCTGGCTTTTTCTCTCTTTGAGAACTTAATTTTTGTTAATTGAAAACAGTAGTTTTAAGTAGGTTTTATATTTACATAAAATAAAGCATTTTTACATAAAATAAACCGTTGCTTCTGTGGCAAAACTTTATTTCAGCCTCATCATAGCAGCAGTTCCTTTCTCATATCCTTTTGGTGTCCTGTGGTTTTTTTTTTTTTTTTTTTTTTTTTGGTACTACACAGTCTGTGACTAAGTAGGTCAGGACAGATTTGATTTTAAATAAATCAGTCAGTAAGTAGCTATTGAATCTGTACTTGATTCCCGGGGTTATGGGGTGGTGGTAGTAAAGGGGAGAAAGAAAAAGGAAAAGTACAATTTAGGCTTTGCTTTCAAGGAGCCCTGATTCTAAATGATAAATGAAGATTAACAAAGGGAAAACTGAGTAAACACTACTGGTAGTAATGAAAAAGTAATGCTATCAGAGCTGCCTGAGCACCTGGATAGAAGATACCAGGAGAAAGGAGGAGTGACTAGGAACGCTCAGTGACAGAGAATTTTGCCATGTGGGTGCTTACAGAGAAAGAAAGGAAAACCTTTTTCCCAAGAGATATAAAGGATGGTACAGTACTTGTTGAAAGCCAGTGAGTCCAGGCCGAAGGTGAATAATGCAGGATTGTAGGGAAGCCAGAGACCAGGGTGAGCCATCTCAAACTAAGAGAGAAACCCCAAATTCCTGGAGGCCCTACAGATTGCTCCCTAACACCCACCCAGTACTGCAAATCCTTGGATTAGAATTAGAAATCATTTTCCTCTGGATTTATAGTTCTTCTTTCTCTGTGTCTTCAGAAAATGACATGTCTCATCTTTTCAGCCTTTCCTCTTGCGAAGCCTCTTAAAAGGCCCCTGGGAGTGAACTGCCCATCCCTTCTTTATTGGTTCCTGAGCGGAGTTCACATAGTTCTTTCCATTTTCCCTGCTATGTTTCGGGAACACTTCTTCCTAGCCTAGAGTCCAAGGCAGTTTTCAGATCAGCAAATTTGGCTCCTTAAAAGTACTCTTAATCACCGTGATTCTGTGTGAACTATTTCTTGATTGGAAAAGAATTATTAAATGGAAATCAGTTGCTTCTCTGCCGAAGTACACTGTTCTGATGGTGGAGACGTCACATATTCCAGCAAGACTGAACTTGTACTCCGTAGACTCAACCGTAAATGAACATAAAACTTTTTTTTAAGACAGGGTCTCTCTATGTAGTTTGGGCTGTCCCTAAACTCACTATGTAACCCAGGCTGGTCTTGAACTCACAGCAGTCCTCCTGTCTCAGCCTCTGGAGTGCTGGGATGACAGGTGTGCACCACCGTACCTGGCTGAAACTATTTTTGAAGTATTTCTTAGAAATGAATTATGAAACACATTCACCTTACAAAAAGTGTTGCCATCTTGCTTTCTTTCATGGGTGGTGACCACTGAATGGTCGGTGCTGGCCCCTGGATGGCACACTCGAATTCTGCAGAACGTGCCTGCCTCTTGGCCATGTTCTTTGGCATAGTGTTCTTTGAAGATTTCAGGTCAAAGAGGGTGAAAGTGACTTCTTAATCTCTTAGGTGTTACCTGTACCTAAGTGCTCTTGGGTGTGGGAGAGTTATTTGGCCCTGACCCTAGTTTCATGAAAATATCAAAATTTTGTAATTTAGCATCGTGCTAAATTTGGTACAGAATGACAAATTGATGGGATTGAAAAAAATGGCTGCCGTGAAGCTCTAAACTTGAATCCCATGTGTAAGATCACATTTTGTGAACTATTTTTTAAATAAGTATTTTATGGCATGAATTATCACATTATAGGATATTGATAAGTAGGGTAGAACATTTAGAACAGAATTAAGTCCATAGACCCATGAATCACATATTGCTATCTTAGAAACTATATTTACTGTAACATTTGACAGTTGGTTCAAAATTCCAAAAATACTTCCTGCCATAAATGTTGACATTTTACATCAGTGAAATGTCATATCTTGTGTGCTCACAGAAGTAAATCACTAAGCGTTATATAGTAAGAAATGTATTTACTAAAATAGGCACTTAAAATGCAGCACAATTCTCCTAAATTGATTTTGGGACTTGTGTATTTATTTTTAAAGTACGCAAAGAGCTTCAAATGATGGACTTGGTTCTGAGCCTTGGTGAGCTGAGGCTGTACCAATGTGGTTGGTTTCTTTACACTGAGATGCTGTTTTCCTTTTGCTGTCCAGGGTGACCCTGGACTGCCTGGGAACCCTGGCTACCCTGGACAACCCGGTCAAGATGGTAAGCCTGTGAGTACTGCACACTTAGTCATCTCCAGCACTGGAATTATAGCGTCAAAGCAAACCTTGCGCTGCGTGTGGTTCAACAGGCAAAGAAGACGTTATTCAGTACTGCTGCCCTAGTAGAGAGAGACTGAACTCAAGCACACTGCAACAGGGAGGGGGAAGTTTTGGTTCCTGGAATAGGCGGGTAGACAAGTAGAGAAAGGGTTCTGGGCAGGCTGGTCAGTGTGGTGGAGCGCCAAGTTTATTCTCCATTTGCAAATGGCCTTTGTCTGCTGACTGGTGTCCCCTGGGGTACAGCTCCTATCACCCTACAGGCCCTGGACCATGAGGATGCTATCTAGGAGGAGAGCCTGCCTTGACAGTTACAGTCAGAAGAATGGGTCCTGGTGCTAGGGAAAGACATTCCTGGGTAGTAAAAGCAGAAGTTCTTAAAAAGATTTGCATCTCAAAGAGACAAAAGAATTTATAATTCAGTTTTCTAAAGTAAATTTTCTAAGAATAGGGAATTATGGGGCAGAGTATAGCTGAGGGGAGAGTTAATGTCTGCTTGGTCAAGAGAATCTGCCTTCTAGACACTTTGAGTTATCTTCATGGTAGCACACATCTTTGCTACAATTAAAAAACTGGCCAACAAGTTTCAGTATCATGAGTAGCTGCTTAAAAATCTTTATTGCGGTTTCTATATATGTATGTGGAAGTTTTCAATTTGAAAATATTTTAAAAGGTGGTATTATTTTCCTAAGAATATATGCACTGAAATACGCTTATAATCTCACTAAAAAGACTATCCTCTTAGATTCCAGATATGGGGACCACTTAATGGGAACATAAATCAACTTTAAAGTATTTTCAGGCAAATAGTTACAGCTAAGTTATTGTCTGCATGTTCATAAAAGTAAATAAACATTAAGAATCATTTTTTAATGTTAAATAATAATTGTCACAAAAAATGCATCTGCTAAGAGGCTTTAAAATAATGAGGCATTATCATGAGGGAGCAGAAAGCTTTGTCCTGTGACTTAACAATGTCCAAGAAATGGAAGAACCTAATGTTAAATCCTCAGCATAACAGCCATCAAGATCAGACAGCGGCTTAAGCCCCTGAGAGGTTTGCTAATGCATTCAGTATAAACAACAGAAGCAACAAAAGATGCGGTGATATACTGAGGCCTTTAACCCCACTGTTAGCGGGAAGGGCTTAATGAACAGCCCAGCTGCTCTAGAGAGAAGTTAGCAAGAAGAGCGAGGCTGAGGAGGTGACCGGTGGTGGCCTCAAGCTGCTGTGTGGTGGGGGCTGGGCATGGCCACTGCCTGCGGGGCTTTGAGAAAGGAGATGGCTTGAGCTTGCTTACAAATGTAAAAAGCAAAGGAGGTTACCTGGACAGTAGATGCCACGGGCAACAGTGGGAGGAGGCGGTCCCTCGAAGGGGCTCTTCCTGTTTCTGTAGGAGCAGCAGGGCTGGGCAATGCGGCAGGAGAGAGGAGGAGAAGCAGGCAGACTGTGGATTGTTTTCTGATGGAAAGCTGACACAGATGCCAACAAGTTTATATGTGGGGTTTGAAAGAAGACCCTAAAGGAAAGCTGCCATAAGAGCACTTATCCTTGATGTGGTTTGGTGAGCAGACTCCAGACCTGACACTCCCTGCCTTCACCTCTGCCGCCCACCTGGCAGGACCTGTCCTGCAGGTCCCCCATCGAGGCTCACCCAGACCCATCTTGGCCCCCGCAGTCCAGAGCACTGCGCTGCCCCCTGAGCTCCGGTGTGGGTGAAGTTTGCCCAGAGAGGGTTTTCACAAGTGCTGTTCCCTGTGCCAGTGGACCCTTGCTTGGGCCCCGTTCTTCCTGTGACCTGCGGCAGAGGCTGGGACTCCTCGCCGCTGGGACGGCACTGGCGACCCTTACAGTGCGAGGCCTCATGCCTGGCAGCACTGCTGAACTATCTAGGCTTTTGATTTTTTTCAGTACTAAAGAGTTCTGAGCAGTGTTTAGGAATGGGTGCTGCTCAGACCTTCCATTATTAACCCTCAGTTTACTTTTTTTGTAAAAAAGAAAATCATTACATGAAAGTATTGGAAATTGGTTATAATTACCGCATTCATGGATATTACTCTATGGCTATGAGAAGTTATGATAGACTTAGTCTCCTCTCGTCCAGTGTATGTCTTTGTGTATGTGTACAGTTTTATGTTAGATATAACTGTGCAGCATCTATCAACGAAAAAGACACAACTGCATTAGGCAGAGTCCTGATCCCCAGGTAAGGCCCTGTCCTGATTTTGAAGACCTGTGAATGTATTATCGTACACAGCAAAGGGGCTTTGCAGATAGGGTTAATTTAAGGACCTGGAGATGAGGAAATTATTTTGGATTATCTGAATGGCCCAATATAATCATGAGAGCCTTTATTAGGGGAGTTAAGAGTGTTAGGGACATGGAAGGGTTTTTTGTGATGAGGGAAGCAGAGATTAGAGTGAGGGACCCTGAGCCAAGGAATGGAAAGCAGCCTCCAGGGCTGTCCCGTAGCCCTCTGGAGAGAACACAGCCCTGCTGACATCTTCTTTGAAGATCTGTTTCAAACTTAGGATCTCTGGAACTGTAATATATGTGTGGTGGTTAAAAACTTTCTTGGGGGGACGGGGGAATTGGCTACAGCAGTGACAGGAGGGACCAGCCTAAATCTGTTTGCCCAGAAGTATGACTTTTCTTACTCTGCCCCCAGCCCCGTCCTTTTTCCTCTTTAGGAAACGTGTGGTTGGGTGGCCAAACAGGAAGAGGAAAGAGCGCCAGGGAGCCAGAACAGCTGAGGGTCATTAGTGTGTCCAGGCCAGCACAGGCGGAGCAGGAAGGTGTGGGTGGAGCCCCTAGCCAACTATTGGAGCCATCTGGACCAGGGAAACTTGGATGGAACAGTTTGCAGGGAATTCTACTTTTTTTGGATTTAGTTCTGCGCAATCCCCCTCATGAGGGATTTGAATCCTTTTCACACATTATAACTAGGCCAAGTCAAGTGGAGCTTTAAATAGTAAATTATTCCACTCCAGAGAAATACTAATTTTCATAAGGGAAGTGCCTTCAAACATAATTAAAGAGTAATATCCAATTTTTCTATTTCTTTCTTTTCTGTTGGTCTGGTGACTTCTGTCAGTACAGTGCCTGAGGATATTACTATCTTTTTCTTTTATCATTATCAGGAGAGGTGGGGGAAATATACAATCTGCTAGGTAATTTATAGTGGTACAACGGAAGGCATGACATGTTTATGGCAATGATTTTTTAAAGGAGGCCACATATGGAAACAAAAATAGGGTTAGTTTAGGTTTTTGGAGGGATTTATGTTTTTACAGTGACCATTTCTGTTTTCTGTCATTATTAGTTACCTTCCATGAAGTAAAGTATTTTACTGAAACAAAAGCTCTTGCTGGTCCTTGGATAGACTTGAGGCTGTGTTGCTCCTGCTTTACTTTTATGGGCTTTGGTTTCTTCATGTGGAAAATGCGAAGATGGCACTGAATGAGGTCCCTATCCTCCCCTAGTCTGGTTTTCTAAGACTGCACAAAGGCCATTATATTTCTAGGAGAGAACAGTGAGACAGACCATGCTGTAGAATCCTGGAGAGGACTTGCCATGATCTATGCCTTGAGAAGTGAGTTGTGGCACCTGAGAGCACACGGATGCCAACAGACCGTCGGTGGATTGGTCAATGGTGACACTCAGTGATCTGTGCCTCCTTTGCCTTGCTGTTTTTGGGGTACCACGACTGGGCTGGGGGTACCAGAAAGAGGCCAGCTTCCATACAGAAGTATACCTTTCAGAGGCAAGGGATTGCAAAGTCACATGACTTGTCAAAGTATCAAGCGTGGACAGAGGAAGGTCAGCAGGAAATGGATCTGAATGGGTTAGCGGATTTGGGAGAGACGGAGATTACTTGGATTAGGCTGTTGTGGTGACTTTAACCTGAAGTTGTGGTGAGCTCTGGAGCCACAGTGTAGAAAAGATATATGATATAACTTACTTTTCAGTGGAATTCTCTGGCTTCTGGGTTGAGGATAGGTTTTAACATGATGAGGGGAAAAGCAGGGAGGACCCCAGGAATTTCTCTCAGTGATCTAGGAGTCAGGTGATGGCTGACTCCATCCCACACTAGCTAGGACCAGTGTGGCAATGGTAGGGCAAAGGGATCCACTGATGTCCCTGGGATATTTTGAAATTTAGGCATACAGATTTGCTAATGTGCTGGATGTGAGTTGGAGAGAAGGAAGTTAGGAGAAACTACTTATATGTGAAGAGTAGGGGAGAGAAAATTGAGTGAGAGAAATCAAGAGTGTAGTTTTTGGATATGTTAAGTTTATATGTTAGACATTTAGGTAGAAATTCAAGTGGACAGCCAAAAAGAGAAGTCTGAGTTCTCCTTTTGTGAAATATTATTTCTTGTCCTTTTGTCTTATAGAGGAGTTTACATATTTTGTATCAACTAATGAGAGTGTTTTGCTTTAATAGAGTTAATCCTTTGCTACATATATTATAAATGCTTCTAGCTACTGATTTGGTTTATAATTTTTAATTGTGAGAAATGTAACATTTTTGCAGAATCAAATATTTTCTCTGTTAATTTATTCCAGTGTTATTTTTCAGGTATTGCTGTACCATATGTGCATTTACTTTACTATGATTTTAGTGACTTGTAATTCTGGATTTTATTGGCAATTTATTGGAGTATTTGGAGTGATATAAAGATACAAAAAGTTTAAGAAATTTAGAGAATAGCTGTTCTGACCCGGGAAGCAGATGGTGTTACTTTGTATTTATCATCCATTCATACTTCCCTAGGGGAGACAGGACTAGGGGTAGATTAAATGTCTTTTATAGTAAATGACATTTGCTTTAATTTGAAGTTGAAATTCTTTTTTTTTGAGTGGGAATTGAACTCAGGACCTCACGCTTGGAGGCAGGCGCTGTGCTGCTGAGCTACATCCCCAGCCCCTGAAGCTGAACTCTGATTATT